TCAGATGCCCATCTGACGGTTTGGGGGCAGCCAACCAGTTCCCTCCCTGCCTCTAAACAGTTTCGCCTCTACAGGCTTGGAAGGCATTTCTAGTGAAGGCAGTTGCACAACTTCCCTTGGTAATTCCACCTATCGTAAAGTCACCCTGCTAGGAAGTTTCTGCCCACCTGTAACCTGCATCCCTTTTGTTATATTTAACCCTGTTTTCTCCATTTTACTTACTAGAAGAGAAGATATTGTTGCCCCATCCCATCTTTTCCTTCATAAGCATTACTTTACTACAACATAAAAGGTTTAATAACATACCCTATGGCCCAGGCTACCTTTAATTACTTGTGCTGCAAGACACATTTTCAACTCTTTTTTGAGAGGCAGATGGATCTTTTAAGATTCACTTAAAACACTTTAATATGGATAATAGGCAAATAACAAAAAGCTTCCTCTCCATCTTTTGTTCATTCTTTCAATATTTATTCAGCAGCAAGTCTGCACCAGGTAGGTGCAAAATGCTGAGGACCCAGTGATGCCAGGGACCCAGCCATTTTTTTAAGGATCTCATGTTCTCCCCAAGAAGACAGGCAAAAAACTGAACTGCACTGTGGGACCTTCCTTCCAAAATGGCCTCTGGCCAGAGGCTTCCAGCAAGCCTCTTCTTGCTTCTCAGGAAAATACCTCAGCAAATCCAGACAAATATGAAGACTTACATAACAAGGTGAACAAACACTGCCAGACAACCTAATACCAGGATGTGGAAGAACCTGACAATACTTATAAGGCAAATGAAGCTGGATTAAGAACAATCTATCAAGCACATGTATGACGTATGCCAAGTTATCCTCTCTAAAGAGAAACTGCTTTGCAGAAATAGATACAGAGGGATGTTTTAATTCCCTCTTTGCCAATACCTGGCTCAGACACCCAGGATCTTGGCAAACCAGGGAATGGAGTAAATAGTCATCACCACCATTGTTGGTTCAGCTTCAAACCAAAGAATAGCTCCCTGGTCATCCTCCTCCTTTCCCCAGCGTCATCTCTCATACCCAGGAATTGCCTTAAAATGAGAGAAACAACTGGATAGATGAATGGGATGGTGAAAACACAATGCTTTCTGCAGATAAGAAAGTGTAGTGCCTGGAACAGTCGCAGTAATAACTGTGAAGACAGTGCAACATGCTGACTATAATTTTTCCTATGACATAGCAGGTCGCAGCCCCAGAGAACTGGGACGGTGGTTGCAGAGAGATGCTACCTCAGTGGAGCAAGCATACACAAAGCCTTCTGGCAACTGGCAATTGAACATTACTGTAGGTTTAAAAAGGTGACTCAATCTTCAGATGAGTCTACAGACAGATGGAGGATCCAAGGCCAATACACTCAGCCTGCCTGCCAAACTACACTGGGAACTAACACGTTTCTCCCTTCTCACGGAGGAGAAAAGAGCGGCCAGGACAGCAGGAAGGCCTCTTAGAGCACTGAAAGTCCCTTGGTGACACAGATGAGGAATATCATTGTGAAAATGGGGCTCTGCAGGATCTGAAGGCTTTTTCAAGAAATTTATCAGTAAGCATGAAAACATAAATTTCATGATAAAAGGAATAAACTTATGAGAAAACGGGTTTAAAAGATAACAGAATGAGAGAAGAGAGGAAGAGAAAGAGAGAAGGAAACAAAAATGCAGGGTCAGAATTCACCTGCACGTTGGGATGTCAGAGAAGAGCAGATTTGTTGCTGCTGAACACTGAGTAGAGGATGTGAGAGAGAAACGGAAGCTTTCCAAAATGCATACACGAGGCACAGAAAGGGAAAATGGCAAGAGAGAATACAGACCATGCAGAAGACAGAAAATAGAGAACCAACGTGTATGAAGCTGTGCTAGTCATTCGCAAGGTGCCAGAGACCTAAAAGAGTCTTCAAAAGAGTTCCAAGAATTTCTAAAATACAGACCAATATAAATGCTATGAAAGTTGAAAGTAATGACAAAGCTCTTCTTATCTGAATAAAGACCTAATAGCCTCAGTTTATAGGCAGTGTTTATGAACTATACAGATCTTTTAAAGAAGTCTTACATTTATCTATGGGCACAAATAAACAGATACACATGGACACAGAAAAACAGGTTACATACAGTGGACTAAATACCATTAGGTTCAGAACACTAAATTCCAGAAGAAAGTAGGGCAAGAGCTGTAGTTTGTTGGCTGGTGGTGGGGGTGGGGGGTATTTTGGCATTGTTTTATTTTTTTCAGCAAGAGAGTTTTAAGTGGAAAAATTTATGACACAGAAAATATCTAAGTTCTGCACGTTGAATGCAATGAACATTTTCAGGCATGTTTTCAGGACTCAGAAAATTTGCAAGTTCATAAAAAAGTTACTTAAGAGATGTGAAAGAAAGTTTGATGTTACAC